TGTTTTAAAAAAGTTCATGCCTATGTGGACACTATAGATGGAGAGAAAACTCTCTAATTATATAAAAACATTTTTTTATTCAAAAGCTACAATTTATTTTAAATCTCGTTTTATTTATGAAATTAATGATTATAGATTTTAATGTTTTAAAATATTAAATAATTATTTGTATTCTAAATTCTACTTAAGGTATTTGGACAATCCAAAGTTAACATGTATTTTTTTAAATCTAATGTATTAAATTATTATACTTTTTGATTTGACACAAGTACATATATAAAATAACTTCTCATGTTTATAACAACAAATATAATTATTATTTTGAAATGATTTTTTAACGCAAAACAATTTGAAAGTAATACAATTTTTAATTCGAAAAACATCAATTTTTTAATTTAATTTGTGTTTCATTTATAAAATTTTATGATTATATATTTTCATGTTTTTAAAATATTAAATAATTTATTTCTATTCTAAATACTACTTAAGATATTCGGACAAGCCAAATTTAACATTTTTTAACTATAATGTATTTAATTATTATACATTTTGACTTGACACATTTACATATATAAAATAATTAAATGGTAAAACTAAATTTTTGAAATTCATATCATTAATAAAAATGATATTATTGACCAAAAAAATTAACAACAAAAAAATCAACAACAATGTCTATATTAAAAATCAAACAACTACATATTGCACATTTTTAAAAACTAAAATTAAAAACAAAATTTCATAAATAATTTATCCGCGTGTCCGCGAAAAAATCACCTAGTATATACATATGCCTTTGTTAAAAAAATAAAAGTAAATTGGGTCGACGTACCCGATTGCTTTTGTTTCCACCAAAAAACGCGTGGACAGAGTTAACCGAAGACAGAGATCCAGTGATTATCGTGATCGGGTCGTGCATGAACCCGCCCGATATGATTTACAACGAGTCAGGAGAACCGACTCGGATAGAATTAACTGAAATCTGTTAAACCTCCGAAAAAAATAATTGAACCAGAAGGTTATCATATCGGAGGTTAATTTAGACGCGGGCAGTTAAACCGAAGTTTCTTGGGATGTAAAATCTGGTTTGTTTACTTAGCCAGTTAGCATTTAAGCTTGAAAACTTGGGTTTTGTGTTGTGTTCACACCCAAGGACAAGATTCTTTATCTTGATTTGTAAATTGATTGCTCATCATTAAATTAAACAAGATCAAAACAAATCGATGGTCGAACCTCTTTTTCTTCACTAACACAAAAACACTCATACTCAAAAGCTCTTTCGATCATGAAGACATAATCTTAATTATAACACTCATAGTCTCCTTCAAAAAATATTAATATTAATTACGATGTTGATCATTTTTATAATCAAATATAGAAAGATCAACCATGAACAAAAGAAATTAAGTTCTAACAAATATTTCCTTATTTAGAATATACTTCTTAATTTATTATTCTTACAGTAAGTTCAATCTATCTTTCTTATCTTAAAGGCTTGGTGTATGTAACGAGATTATAAAAGGAGCGATGGCGTTCGCCCTAGCTACTCTCGGGCACGAAGACCAAGATGGAGGATCTCAGCTCTCTCCGTTCCAGCAAAGGCTCCCGCCTCCAGCCCTCCTCCATCGTCCGTCTCTCCTCTGCCTGTACCAACGCTCCGATTTCCTTGAAGACCTCCCTCACCGATGGAAGAAGAAGCATGGAATCTCTGCAGAGATTTGCTCTCGGACCCGCGACGAGAATCCTTTGGCTTCTCCGACGCCTCTGCTTTGGTTGTTCATGACACTCGGTCTTGTCCCAGTGATAGATCTGTGTTCTCTGAACTTCTCTCCGGCGAAGACGATGACTCTTCTCGTCTCTAACGGTTTGCTCATAATGAAGCTTCGTCTGAAGGTCGCTGCCAGAATAGCTCGAATCCCAGAGCCACCGGACCCACCAGATCCACCGGATCCTCTCCGCTTGCTAGTCACCAGCAACACTATAATGGTATTCTCTCGATTCTTACCTTCTGATTATGAATGTGATTGCAGTTTCGATGAATGGTTAGGATTAGTAAAGTTGGATCCAAGTTTCATTGACTTAGTCCTGATTGTTTCGGTTGAATTGGGTTCTCTTATGGTCGCCTTTGTGCGATTCTTTGCTGCATTATGCAGAATATTTCTCCCTACTGCAGTATGCATGTTTCTACTATTGTGTCATTCATTGGCAAGCTTATCGCCGATGTGCGATGCTTCAATTGGGCCATCCGGTGAGAATCTTATCATTTTTATGCGACACCCTACTGCAGTATACAGGTTTCAATACGTCATCACCTTGACGGACCTTGATGTCTCTGTGATGGAGGCTCGTTTCCTCCTATACTCTTCTCTTGTGATTTGGAGAATTAGTTTAGGGAGCTCGTCGAATTTGTTTCTACTTGATGTAAAGACGATCACAATCAAAGCTGCAATTTTAGCACTTCAACTATAGAGATCCGACACCTCAATGTGTTCACCGTTTCTCTTTCCCTTGTCAAGTTTCTCAACTTTAGAGGTGTTGTCAATGAGCCGGAAAGCATTCTACATGACATCTTTTGTCTATTAGGACCCTTTTCTTCTATCTTTATCATTCATGTAACTTGCACGGCATATGTATCAGCCGAGTTTTTATTTATGTCTACTTTGTTAGACTTTGACATTACCTCCATGGATGGAGGAGTTTGAGTAATCTATAAAATCTTGGTTTGATAAAAAAAAAGACTTGATATATGTTCACAAATTATTTTTTCTTTAACCACTACAGAGATGATTGTGGTTTCGTTGGATTTTTGAATTATTATTGTGTAATTTGGTTTTACGGTTATTAGATTTTTTCATTTAAGTTTTGTTTTTCTGTTGTGGATCAATCACTCCACTGTAATACACATTGATAGCCGATTTACGATATTTGTAAATTTTGTGTGATATCAAATTTTAAAATTCAATAAAATCTACTAGAAAGAAAAAAAAGTGAGAAAGAGTTTTAACATTTCAAATTTATGCCCCACATTATTAAATAATAAATATGTTAAACAAGTAAACATTACTAGACAAAAATTGAATATCTAAAATCCTTTTTAATTAATATAATTAGATTGTATAAGAAAAACTTTAAAATACAAACCTAATTCTTTATCATATCGGGAATAAGGTGGGAGAAAAATGTCTCCATGCGGATGCATATTAGATTAGATCATTGATTAAAGAAACATCATATACAATCAAATTATCTACAAACAATAATGAAACTAAAAAGTTTATGACAAGACTATTAATCATCTTACGAGTTTTAGATATTTTAGATTAGTCCAGATATAGCCTAGACGTTGGCATTTTCCTAAGTGGTCTCATAATGCCAACTGTTGGTCATTGGGTAAGCGGTCGAAGCGACTATACACGCGTGCCATCGTCCCAAGTGTAGGGCATATCAAAGTCGCGTGATACAACGTTATAAAATCCTAAACCAGATGATATCATCAAATTCAAAATTTTAGAAATTTTGTTCGGTTTAATTAATTATGAGGTCATCTTATTATGTGAACTTGTTGCAAATCGAACATATTGTATTGCATCATACGAAATTTGATGACTATATTTTGAAGCTAAGTTCCACAAAGAAAAATTAAGCAC